TCTGGAAGAAGTGTGCAGAATTGGTGTTTTCTTTCAGCGTTTGGTAGATTCTCCTGTGAAACCTTGTGGCCTAGAGGTTTCCTTTTAGGGAGTTTTAAAATTACAAATGCAATCCCCTTAATTGCTATAGGGTTGTTAAATTCTCTGTTTCATATTGGGTCCACTGTGGTAGTTTGTGTTTTCCAGGAAGTGGTCTGTTTTCATCTAAGTTGTCAAATTTTCTTATGCTATCAGGTGGTTTTAATAAAGAATCCATTCTTTTTCATGGATTTTTTGGTGTGTGTGGAATTTGTCAGTTACTACATTTGTAATTTGTTATGACTTCCCTTGTCAGTCTTAATAAATATTCACTTTTGGACCTCACTTTTTATGATCATAATTTGATATGTGTCTTTTTCTTAAAGGACCCCCATCTGCCCCTTTGTGTATACGTCAGGCCACACAGAAGCTGGATCTGCCCAGCCCCCTCCAAAGACGTGGATTTGGCATGTGTTTGTTGCCTTAAATGACACTCCAGTGAGCCGAGGGAGTTTGGGGCCTCACCACCGGTTAGGTCTCGACACGCAGCAGACGAGTACTTTATGCTTTTGGAGTGAAACCTATATGGAAAAACTGCAAAATATGCCACAGCCTGTATTTAGTCCCGCCCGTGTGGTACCAGGTGACAGTTGTCGCTCTTCTTTCTACTTTCCTAAATTTCCACAACACACATGCTTATTTTTTCAAAGAATGAAAGAGAGGAACAGAAAAGGTGGATAAAAAGGGACTGACTGGGGAGTTTGGGGTGCAGAGTTAGGGGGCGTCTCCAGGAGGGGCCCCAAGACCCCGACATCTCACGTGTTTCCAAGTTCCCACACTCCCTTCTCCGCCTGATGCATTTCAAACAGGAAGCTGTTTGCAGATAATACCGCAGCCCCAGCCTGATTTGCCGGGCAGTCTGACAGCCAGGCCACTTGCCCGACGTGTGGGACCGCGGCCCGAAAACAGCAGCCTGACCTGGCGCACGCCTCAGGTAGGGACGCTCTGCTGGCCACTCTGCAGCCTTGGGAGCGGGACGGGGGTGGGGAACCCGCGGGAGATGCTCAGGCGGGAAGGCGAGGCTCCTGACGGGGCACAGGTAGGAACTGGGTGCAGGGCTGAGGGATTTGCTCTCAGATCGGGTGTGTCGCAGGGATCAGGCCAGAATTCTGAGGCTTGATTGATTCGGTAGCTCATGGTGGAAACTTCCTGGAGCTCAGCGCCAAGCACCAGAGCTACCAGTTACTAGGAGATGATCAGGTTTCCATAGATTCAAAGGGGTGACGCAGTTTTTCCTGCATCCCAGCCGGGGTACAAGCGGCTGCAGAACCCCCCGTCCCAGCCCCTGGCACACACACCTTCCTGAGCAGCCAGCTCAGCCTCCTGGGGCCTGGTGGACCCCCAGCGGGGGTGACGGGGCGACCAGCTCCTCTCTGCTCAGTGGCCAGCCTCTCTGTTTCGGGCTCAGTGGTGGGAGTCCCAGATGTGGGGCGAAAGGCGGGGCTGGAGAAGGCAACTTTCAAGGGCACATAGGGTCACCCTGTACGGGGTGGGGTCATCCTGCCTCCAAAATGGGATTCCACAGCGTCCCAGGGGCCCTCCTGCCTTGGCCCTGGCTGTCCGGCCGAAGTTAGGCAGTGGTTCTGAAGTTAAGAGGTAAAGTTTGGAAGCCACTGAGTGTGCATAACTGGATTTTCCGTTTGATGGGAAGCACGTTGCCCGGGTAGCAAGCAGAGCAGCGCCCCAAATGTTCACAGCTGTTCAGTTCTATTCACGAATTTGAAGAATCTATATGCCAAATAAAAGAACAGACAGATGACTTGCATAAGGCTGGGGGAGGTAATAGGAAAAGGCCTCTTCTTGCTTCATGGTCTTGGTAAAAAGATAGGAAAAATGTGTGCCCTTGGGGTGAAACTCTGTCAGTGCCATAGTCGCTGGGGAAGGCCCAGTGTCACTGTAGGGGTGGGGGTGAGGTGTCTGCCTGCCAGTGAGACCCGCGACGCTTCTAGGGACGTGCTTCTCTGCAGGCATTCACGGTGCCCGTAGGATGGTGGGCCCTGCTATAGACTTTTAATGAAAGTGTACAGCTGCACATTTGGCCCATTAAGCCGCACTTTTTCCCCTGTCTATTTCATTCTTGTATCGTGTTTCTACCAAGAATTCCAAATTGAATTTCCTTTCTTCTCGGTCAAGCTGGCCTCCTTCACGGAGGGGCGGGCCCCGGCTGGGAGATAAGGATGTTTTTCTTGAAGAGACCCAGGAGGAGCTGCAGCCTCCCCGTTTATAAAACAAAATTCCTCTTGTAAGAGGGCAGGAAGGAGCCCGAAGTCTGGGAAGGAGGCTCCCACCCAGGGCCGCCTGCACTGATTGCTGCTGGCAGGACCCGTGGTGGGCCCAGACGCGTGAGCGGGCCGAGGGCCCGTGGGCCAGTGGGAGGGCAGCCCCGGCTTCCCTGCACTCCGGGCCCTCTGCCCCTTGCTCCCCCTTCTTGGGAGGTGGCATCTGATCTCGAGGCCGCTCCTGACGCTTCTGCAGTGTGAGAGCTGTGAGTCTTGCTGAACAAGGTGGCTGTCTTCTGACCCAGTTGTCTCTAGCTAGAGAGGAAATTCCCAGGTCAGTTCCCAAGACATTTAAAACAATCTAAACACAGCTGGCCTCCCACACATACCAAGAGACAAGCATCCATTGGCCTGAGCACAAAAGTCAGGGGAGCAAGTGTTTATCGTGGCTTTTAAAAAATTGCCAGCTAGTTGACACGAAACATTCTATTATCATCGCCTTCAAGAAGTACCTCCTTGAAAGAAACAAATGACTTGCCGCTAAAGCAGCAGCTACGCTCTTTATGGTTAAGAACACAGTGTGATCATCCGGGCTGGCTGCATACTTGGTGCTGCTTTGTTCAAAGACCATTAGGAATTCCAGGCCACAATCCCATTACGCGGCCCTCTACGTGGGTCCGCACAGGTCGCGTGTCCGCGCCGCTGGCCCTGGGAACACCATGGGAACATGGAAAGCCATCAGCAGAAGAGCATCACGTTCTATGTGAGTTGCCACTGGGAACCTCTGGGCGTTCGTTCATTCATGCGCCCATCCTTCCGTTCACTAACTCAGCTTAGCGCCTGCAAACCCCAGCCAGGCCCGAGCGCTCCAAGCTCTTTCAGTTACGGCTGCAGGTGCTCACGGCGGCCGATGTGCAGGACGAGCTGCTCGCTCGGGGGTCAAGGCTTAGCTGACAAAGGAGACGGAGAGAATCAGCTCAGCGGGCCCGCACGCATGAAGGGCCCTGCAGCCTCTCACTGCCGCCTATTCATTGTCTTTAAAACCAGGGGCCATATACGTCACCAGGTGGTCCGGGGACTAAATAAGACGTGTGTCCACGTTTGGTGCGCGGTAAGCGTTAGCTCCTTTTTTCTCCACCAAACGTGAATGTTAGAAAATAAAATAAAATAAAAGCCCACTACTGCTGTGACTGAGGGGGGAGGATGGGCCCTTACTTTGATTCGGGGAAGCTGACAGTTGGGCCGAGTGAGCAACGGTGCTGACAGGACAGCGTTAGGAAGTCCCAGGCCAGCCCATCGTCACCACTTCTTAGTTGTCACTGAGGTCTCTGCCTCTGGCCTCCTGGCCTGTGAAGCTGGAATGACGTGCCCATCCCTGTGCAGCGTTACATGAGCACCATGTTGTCCCCGATCTGGTGAGCGGTCCTCCCCCTGCCTTGTCCCTATAGGATCAGATCTGTGACCACACGTGGGGAGCCGGGGCCTCACTGCAGGACGGCACGGATGACTGTCACCTCTGTCCCCTTCGTGGAAGATCTGGCTAAAGCACAGGCTCTTCATGGGGGGCACAGAACGCTCTCACTCAGCAGCTCTGCTTCCAGCCCTTCATTTGTCTGGAAGCCAGGGCCGGCTGTGGGACTCCTTCCCAGGGTGTGGTGGCCAGGATGTCAAAAGCTGCTGGGGCTGGCCTGGTGCTGAGCTGCGTGCACCGCTGCCTGTTCTTCCTCAGGGTGACCCCAGGGCGCTTGCCTCGCTGTAAGGTGAGGGAACAAGCTGACAGGAGATGCAGTCTAGCCAGGGCACTGGTCTGGGTGCAGCCAGATGCACAGCTGTCTCCCAGCACTGTGGCATCCAGACACCAAGGTCCCGTGGGGCAGACCTCAAAGTCTGCATGCTTCCTCACTGGCCCATGGCGGGGGGACTGGCACAGGGACAGGGGGGGCCAGCTGTGTCCTTCCAACCTCTGTCCCTGTCCCACACCCTTTGGTGACGGGGGCTTCCTCATTGATGTAAGGACATAATAAGCTACAGGTGTGTGCGGCAGCATAACGTTGATGAATCCTGGAGCGCGATGACTAAAGTAGGTAAGACGACACACAGTGTGACCCAGTATCTCATAAAACTCAGAACCCGGCACACTAGACACCACATTGTCTTAAGAACGCATCCACTGCTGTGCACTGAGGCTGTTTTGGAAACAGCAGGAGAAGGTGGGCTCGCGGGTGAGGAGAGCGGCTCCTCCGAGGGGAGGCTGGGGGCGGGATGGGCACCAGGGACTCGGGTCAGGGGGCCGGACGTGTGAAGCGGATGCTCACCAATGTTTGTGTTATGGCTGAGCGTCCGAGTTTTCACGTAGCGGTAAACACGCCTCTGTGTGTGTCAAGTATCAGTTATAAGGAATCAGAAGAAGAATCTAGAGTAACGCACCCGGGGTGGTAACTGTTGTCACTGCTGGGCGAAGGGGATGTCTCGGTGGAGGTTTCGGTCAGCACCCGAAGGAGAGAGACAGAGCGACAGGGAGAGAAAGAGGCACCAAAGCACTGAGAGCCGCTCCGGGGCAGCTGCCACCGCGGCCCCCGAGCGGGGCGAGTGTGGTGGCCGGCGCGCCTGCACACTGTCACTTGCTGTCCCGGTTCCCGGAATTCCCGTCACTGTTTACTGCTTTTCCCTCCCTTCAGGAGTCAGCGTGCTGCAAGGCTCATCATGAAGCGGGCTCTTGCTCTCATCGGCCTGGCCTTCCTGTCGGTGCTCTGGGCTGGGGGCGCTCAGCAGACGGTGGATGACACCTGTTCCGTGCAGATTCTTGTCCCCGGCCTCAAAGGTAACTTCCGCCGGGCCTCCCGGAGGTCAGGGCCTCCTGGGCAGCGGCCGGAGTGCAGGTGGGACCTGCGTGCGAGTGGTGGACGCAGAGCTCATCCTGGTCCCCGGGCCGGCTCGGAGCCCGGCCTTGGGCAAATCTGCCCCTTCGATGGCCCTGGTCCCTCCTTCTGTAAAGTCCAGGGTCAGACTGTACGTGGCGTCCACACTGTCTTCAGGCAAGGGATTCTGTAATTCTGAAACCAGACGTTCGTGTGCAGCTCGGTCCTCTCTGCAGGGACCCTGTAAGGCGTCCGAGGTGTGTTCCAGGCACTGCACATGTCACCTGCAGTGCCCCTCAGGGTGAGATGCTCTCACGGTGCAGATAAGGCCGGTCCAGGCTCAGGGAAACTTAGCAATTTGTCTAAGTGGGTTGCGTAGCTCTGAAGCCTGGGCTCCTGTTATGGTTCCTGAGAGCTCTTTATTCCTTCTTCGAAAAATCAAGAAAACTTCTCCTGCGCTTTGTCTGTAATTCACCTCCAGGGGGAGCTGCCTCTGCAGACCAGGGATGGGTGGGCACCAGCACAGGGGGAGGACCTTCACTCAAAAAGTCACCAGGTTCTACCACGCAGGGGCAGGAGATCCCAAACCTTGTGCTCCCAAGTAGGACCAGCTCCTTAATTCGAGGGGCCCAATGCAGATGAAAATGTGGGATCTCTTGTTCAAAAGTTAGAAAGAATTTCAAGACGGGGACAGGGCGCCTTCACCACATGGGGCGAGCTTGCCCCTTGGGCCTTGTGCTCCTAGGAGCAGCGGGCAGGGTCCCGCATCCCCAGATTCCACTCTGCCCCTCCTGCCCCTCTAGGGCTGCGTGTGCTCTTAGTAATGAAGTTACACGGCTGTTTGTTTTCTGCTCTAAAATTGCTCGGGGCCTCTGAAGCACACAGCTCCTGACTCTGGAGCGAATCTCCGATAACCTGGGAAACATACACCGGGAGGAGGCCCTAAAGAATGGTTTAAGCGTATATTTATTGTTATAGAAAGAGTCAGTCATTTTAATTAATTAATTATTATTGTTACTTTTTTGGCTGCACCGCAGTTTGTGGGATCTTAGTTCCCTGACCAGGGATTGAACCCGGCCCCCCTGCATTGGGAGTGTGGAGTCTTAACCACTGGACTGCCAGGGAAGTCCCAGACTCAGGAACTTTAAACAGTCTCTTCCTAAATCCATTAAAAATATACAAATACACAGAAATAGGAAAAAATCTAGACGGAGATACACTGGCATGCTAGCAGCAGTGCTCCTCTCTGAGCACGGAGTTGTGGGTGTCTGGGAAAGCTCGGTCCAGATATTCTACTGTTTAGCCACATTCACAATTTAAATATAAAACCGGGACACTATCAAGATTCAGATGCCTCTGGTTTTCAAGCACATCTTGAGAGTACTCTGAGACAGATGCTTTTTGACATCTGTGTTGGTGACCATTTCTGCTGCATCCATATTAAGGGCGTTCCAACCCGCGTGCTCGGCGGGTCCCCTGCAGTGCCTCCTTCTCTGAGGGTGGCCCGCTCCAGGGACACCTTACCTCCTCTAAGCAATGATTTCTCACCACCCAACACCATGCTGTAGTCGGTGATGAGCCACTGTATTGCCAGGTGGAGGCATGGTCCACAGAGAGCCGACCTGCTGTCACTCTCATGCTCCTACCCCGTTCACAGACTGAGTGTCTGCAGTGAGCAGACACGATGTGGGCCCTCCAGCAGAGGGGTCTGCCAGGGAATCCGCGGGGCTCCTGTTCTCCAAGGCTCATCTGCTGGCAGGTGGTCAGACAGGCTCCCAAGTGGTGCTGAAGCTGTGTGGGATGTTTGGGGCCATGGGCAACACGCAGACCACGTGCTACCCACAGTGTGTGTTCTGGATCCAGCGTTTCAGTGGCAGCATTGTTTCACACGTCCGGTTTCATGCTAGTCAGTGAGCACCAAAGCAATGATTTTAGTGGAGAAACTTAGTATATTTATGAAAGCCTCTAGAAACTGGATATCTTGTTCTTTTTTAAATTTCCAGCTTTGCTGACAAATAGTAGCTCTGTCTATTCAAGGTGTGCATCGTGATGCTCAAATAGGCAGGTACCTTGTGAATGGATTGCGGTCACGCTGATGACCACACCCACCTCACCTCGTTATCCTCTGTGCGTGTCTTGTTGTGACGCAGAAGCGTGGGTCAGCGAGAGTTCCTTCTTTGTGATGCGAGGGTGCTGAGCCAAAACAGAGGAGGGGTTTCATGCTCTGATTTTCACGTTGGGCAGCAGGGGTGAGAGTGGAGGAGAGAAATCTATGGCAGCAAAGCAAGTCTGGGGCTTCTAAGCAGCGAACGTTCAGGCCCATGTAGATGTGCGTCCCCTGCAAAGTGAAGATTGGCATCACGGCAGAGCTCCTTCCCCAGATCCGCGTCTCGTGCAGCATGGGGCAGCGGCGGTCCGGCCACCCTCTGCCTGGCGCCTGGTCCCACCCAGCTCCTCCTCAGACCAAGCTCCGACCTTGAGGACATTCTGTGCTGCTCTCAGGGCACAGAGAGCGGGATGCGCCCGGGAGCAGAGGGGGCCGGGCCCAGTGCAGAAACTGGGGAGCTGCTCCATCCCAGGCTTTTCCGTGTCCACTCAGTCAGGGTCTTGGGGGACTTAGGACTTTCCATCGCTCGATGGGTGGAGCTTCAGCATCACAGCCAGCCTCAGGGCACGGGGGAGGGCGTGCTGTCTTCTGCCTTCTCTGAGTGGCTTGCCAACCACTAAGCGCGCTGGCCACACAGGGAGCCAGGCAGGGGATGTGGACTTCGCCGGCCACACTCGCCCGGATGCGCCTGAGAGCCAGGGCAGTCTGTGAAAGGTCTGATTACAGCACGCGTGCCAGGGCCTGCCTTGGTCAGTGGAGATAAACACAATACAGGCCCCGCCCTTAAGATGAAAGAGGCAGGTGAGGGGTCTCCATTCGTTCATCAGATGCGTCTGTGTTACAGGCCCCACCAGGCCAGGCTCAGCCTACGAGGGTGGAGCCAGTGCCTGTTTCCTTGGAGACGGAGCCTGGAGGTGGCAGGCGGTCTCTGGGGACATGGCCGCGGGCTGCTTCCGGCCCATCCCGGTGCTTCCTCCTGCAAATCCACACTGGGTTTCAGAATCCTTCTCAACATGACTCCAGGCAGCTTTCTCCTTGAGAAGAAAGTCGTGTGCTATTACAGACTGCTATTACAGATGGAAGAGCAGTCTTTCCTTGATGGCTGGAAAAATGGGTTGTAGGTAGGAAAACACTGGTGTGTATTAGCAAGCCTGCTGCTCAGAGATTTTAAAAGGGCATCGTTATTCTTATAGGTTTTATCAGATTAATTGAAAGAAGGTTGATAAAGCCAATAATGTGACTAACACACGCAGGTGGGGATTTCACGCTTCTGAAATGCTGCTCTGGGCCCGTTCCCTCCTCAGCTCTGGTCTCCCTGCCTCTTTCCTGTCCTGACTGCTTTCTCTCCCAGAGGAGGGTCCAGTCAGGGACGTGGCCTGCTTGTTCTCTGATTAGGGTTTTGCTGCCCGGAGCTGGAGAGCTGGCTTGTTGCCTGTCTCTGGCCTGGCTGTTCATTGTAAAGTGGACATGATCCCTGCCTCATGGGGCAGGGCGGGGGGGGCAGGTTAAATTAATGGAACTAAGCGAATGGCTGTGTGTGAACTCTAGGAGTTCATATTAATCTATAGAAGAAACTGGTGGGTTTGCTTGGTGTTAATTTTCCACGATTATCGACAGAGCCGCTGTGAGGTCCAGGGCTCTCCCGGCTGCTCCAGGAGACGCAGGTGGGCACGACGTGGACCCTCCGTCCACGGGGGGCAGTGGGACGTGGGCACTGACAATGCTCGCGTCTGGCCTGGACCCTGGAAACATTAATCTCACTGTCCTCCCCTGACGCAGGCATGGGACCACGGTATTTTCCTCCTTAAAGCCTGGCGGGGGCGTCCAGTGGGCCGTACGTGTGAGGTCTGAGCGCTGTCTGTGCCCGGCCCTCCCAGCTCGTCCCACCTCACCTGTGCAGATGTCCCTTTGTCTCCTCAATCTCTGCCTGGCTGCATCTTCCTGGTTCAGCAGGTCTCCGTTAAAAGCCACTTCATCAGAGAGGCCTCTTCTGATCTCAGTCTAAATTACAGCCCTTCTGTTGAAGTTACTGCTGCATTTTATTCTCGTACCGTGTGTTGCTAATGACAATTCTATGTCAATCTAATTCTCATTCACATGCGTGCAGTCTTTAAAAATTCCTTCTCCTCGTGGCGCTTATAGAATTTTCTCTTGATTCTTGATGTTCTGTGTGTCACTCTGACGCATCTGAGTGATTTTTCCCTCATTTCTTTCCTGCTGGCACGCTGTGGGCACGTGCATTGTGCCCTTTGGTGATTTTCCGTAGTGCCGGGAAGTCATAGCTATTAAATCTTCACAGCTATTAAGGCTTCAAATGTCTAATCTCCTTTTCTGGAATTCCTGTATGATGGATATTGGGATTTGTGGGTTTTTTTCTTCAGCGCTCGACTCGATAACTTCAAAACCGAAACAAAACTTTCCATCTCCTTCTCTCTCAGTGTTGCCTTGTAGACGCGTTCTTCGTCCTAATTATTTGTGTCATGAATTAGCTTTTATCGTTGGCCATTCTGTTACTCCGCCTGCCTGAAGAGTAACTTGTTTCAAAAATGTGTTTCATACACGAGATTCCCTAGTTGGTCCTCTTTCATTGCTGCTTTGCTCTTGTTCGTAGGTGCCTCCTCTCTCTCGTCTTTATGAGGATATTCAGTGTCTTTCACAGTCAGATTCTGGCTGTCCCGTTGAGTCCTGTTTCCTGGGTTGTTATTTCTTTTTTCACGATGTTGGTGCCCCTCCAATGTCTGCTGGTTCTTGATGGTGAGATCAGTCTGTTAGTCGGTATTTCTTGGTAGACTGTCAGTTCTTCTCCAAATATTACTACTGTAATGATTTCCTTTCTTTTTAAAAGATAAGAAAAAACCCGAGAACTACCCAGAGATTCAGGGGCCCATGTGTGCCAAGTGTGTCAACCGCCCTTCAGCAGTGGTTCATGGAGCTGTCACAGCTGTGACAGGGGGTGGCAGTAACATGCCAGCCCTGCATTCCATGTTGTAATGGCACTTGCTTTGCTTGTCTCTTTGTTTCCTTACGTTTAAATGGAATGCCCCCTCCCCTTAAGGCCAGATTATCAGTTTGGGGGATTTCACTGGGGAATCTGTAATCTCAGGGGAGCCTCTTAGCAAATGAAGGTGCGTGTAGAGAATTTACGGAGAATGAAAGTTCACTTGAACGTTGGCCTGCTTTGTGCACAGCTAGGCAGGTGCACGGCAGCACCCACACCCACCCGTGGGAGGCAGATACATCAGGAAAGTAGATGAGGCCACGAGACAGTGACTGTGGTACAGAGCAGGGTCCTCATCACGGGAGAAAAGAGATCCAGGGAGGGGCTGAGGAACAGCTTCCTGGACAGTCAGGTGAGCAGGTGAAACCCGCACAGGTGGGTTGATGGTCACGGCCGACTAGGCAGAGGCAGCAGTGTAACCGGACCCCTGGGCTCCAGGTGCAGGCCTGTGGGGAGGAGCTTAAAAACAGGACATTATTTATAACTACATTTGGCTGTTGGTGGTTTTGAATCTCCTTTGAGAAGGGAAGTATAATGGAATCTGTGTTTTAGGAAGATGGTTCTGGGGTGGATTGGAGTGGGGGGCGGCGGGGGGGCACTGGGAGGGGCCTTGACGTCCCGTCCGCACTCCGTCCTCTGCTCCCCCCGCGCACTGTGCTGCTCGGACAGGGTGTCTCCACGGTTGTTTGCGACCTGTCTCCTGCCCCGAGCCGCATGAGGGCGGGCTGGTGGTCCTGTCACCTCCAGAACTGCAGAGACTTAGCTGAGCGTGGAGCCCCCGAGGGTATCGGGAGGGAGCGGCCGGTTGGGCTTCGCAGAGCTGGGCGATGCTTGCACTTACCCGATGAGGGAGACAGAAAAGCAGAGATGACCGTGGGGCTTGGAGCTTGGAGTCTGGGAGACTCGGTGTCTCAAGAGCAGGAGCAGGAAAGTCCACAGAAGAGACTCACTTCTGGGGAAAACCATCAGGTCGACTTGGGACGTGCTAAGTGCGGGGTATCAGGGAGGCTACACAAACAGCCCGTTTCCCTGTTTCGGTTCTGAACAAAACAGGAAATAAAGGAAAATGTGCCAAAACATGGTCAGGATCTGTGAGGAAGGCTGGGGGGCATGTGTAGCTTAGGCTGAGAGCAGGACGCACCTGGCCAACGAGCCTGAACTGGGTGATGTGCTCACCTGGTCACAGGTGTCCCCGTGTGGGAGGACCCTGCCCCTGAGCAGTAGTCTACCCTCTGGGGGGTGCTCACACTGAAGGGACAAGGGGACGCCGACTCGTGTGCCCAAGTTTATTCTTCCCGAGAGTACCGGCCAGACAAGGGAAGAGAGAGGCCAGCACGGGTGGTAAGGGGCAGCAGAGCAGCCATGATGGGTCCTGGGGAGCCCTGCGCACCAGAGGGCAGACTGGAGCCAGCCCAGATGGATGGATGGAGAGAGGGACAGATGCATTCCCAGAGGGAGCGGGGAGGCAAGGCAGCAGAATCCTGAGGAGAGACTTGGGGAGGGAGACCTAGAGCCAAGGCTGGGAGCAGGCTGGGAGGAAGGGGTGAAACCCCCTGGGGGTGGGGTGGGAAGAGGGAGGCCAAGGGGCCTGGCTGGCGGCGCAGACACTGGAGCCCGGCGCTCAGAGCAAAGGCCCTAAAGGCATGTGACTTCTTCCACAGGGGATGCTGGACAGAAGGGGGACAAAGGCGCACCAGGACGGCCTGGCAGAGTCGGCCCCACGGGAGAGAAAGGTACCTGCTGCCCCTGGGCCCCAAGGGCACAGCTGGGGCACCGGCTCCTGCGAGAGCTGTTGGTGGGGAGAAGGGGGGGCGTTCGAGAGGAACCCGACACCTGTGTAGGTCTCGGGACTGAAGCAGGGCACAGAGAGGGCTCTTTAAACAGTGCTCCCTGGCTCTGGCCTGCCCGGCACCGAGAAACAAAGTGCCTCCTGGGAGGTGTGCCTCCTCGGGTGGTTACGTGTACGGAAACTCAGCGCTTGCTTGGCCTCACGTGCAAAATGAGGATCATTTGTGATCGTTACACGTATAAGTGCAATTATGAGGGTGTGCAAACAGTGATGGAGGCGTGTGAACAGTGATGGAGACAGTCATGTAGGTGTGCAAAGGAGAGAGAGCACAGATTTGGGTGGGGCATGGGGGTTACACCGTGGCCCCCCATTTTTGGCTAACGGACCCTAGTCACCTTGAATCTGTTTCCTCATTAGGAAAAAAAATCGTGTCGTTCAGCCTGCCTCCTGGGGTTGTGCTGAGGCTTACAGAAAATAGATCCTACCTAAAAAAGTAGCTACATGGTACATGGTGACGTCAATACATGTCATCATTAGGATATACTTACTTTTGCTGCTTTGAAGTTTGTGAAATCCTTAAAAGCTGTGTTTGGAAGTGCTTTGTCAACGCCTGCACACTATTCTATGAGAACACGTGCTGAGATTATCCACCCGGTCCCCACCCAGCCTCATAGCATTGGAGTTAGGTGGTTCTTGTAAAAACACAGATAAAGGTTGTTATGTTTTTAAGTCCACGCACTGTTTTTTCATTTTCAAATTTTTATTTTTTTTCATGTTGGTTTTTTCTTTTTCTTTTTTTTTAAATTAATTAATTAATTTATTTTGGCCCCGCTGTGAGGCATATGGGATCTTAGTTCCCAGACCAGGAATCAAACCCGTGCCCCCTGCATTGGGAGCACTGAGTCTTAACCACTGGACCACCAGGGAAGTCCCAGGTTTTTCGTTTTCTGAGGTGTGATTTACGTAGCATCAGTGAGTTTGGCAGCTGCAAATGCCTGTGAAACCCTGGTCAGAGTCTAGATCCAGAGCACTTCTGTCACCACCATCCCTCCGTCAAGCCGAGGTGCAGATTTTTATTTCTTACTTTCCCTTTACTCATAACAAATTAATTTAAAAATATAAGAACTGTGCTCCTGGTTCAAAGTTCAGAACATACAGAAATTATTCACAGCCACTAGTCTCCTTCCCATCCCCGCCAGCAGCCCTCCCCACTGACAACCACTGTTAGGTTTCTTTATCTTCACAGAGATATTTGGTAACGGCCGAGTGAACGCTATTCTTTCCTGCTTCCGTACAAACAATTGCAAAATGTATGTAATGTTCTGCATTTTCACTTATCCGGGTACTTGGAGATCATTCACTCTACGGGAGGACATGCAGGCTTTGCTTGCTGTCGCCTGGAGACGTCGTGTCCGTTCTTCATCTAACTGGTCTCCTATTACTGCAGATTTACAGTTCCCTAGGGCCTTGCTGCAGTGAGTGAGTAATCTTGTAAACGTCATTTTTAATGTGGACGGGTACAGCCTGAAGATAAATTCCGGACAGAGTAACTGTTGATCCAAATGCACGTGCATTTGAAATGTTGGTGGATATGGCCTCTTCCAAAAGGATCGAATCCATTTACCCTCTGTTTATTGAAGCACAAGACGGCCGACCCCTTCACCCTCCCTGCGTCAGAAAGCTGCCAGTCTGGTAGCCGTGGAAGGCCACATCAGTGGGGCTTTAACTTAGCCTCTCTTTTCATAAATGAAGTCAGCTTATTTTTCAGGTGTTTAAAAGTCATTTGTATTTCTTTTCTTTTTTTTCCTTTTTGAGGATTGTCTTTTCCTGTCTTTTTAAAAACACTTCTTGGGTTCTTCTTTTTTATTTTATTTTTATTTATTTTTCGGCTGCGTTGGGTCTTCGTTGTGGTGCGCGGGCTTCTCATTGCGGTGGCTTCTCTTGTTACGGAGCATGAGCTCTAGGCGCGTGGGCTTCAGTAGTTGTGGCGTGTGGGCTCAGCAGTTGTGGCGCATGGGCTTAGTTGCTCCACGGCATATGGGATCTTCCCAGACCAGGGATCGAACCCGTGTCCCCTGCGTTGGCAGGTGGATTCTTTTTTTTTTTTTTTTGTGGTACGCGGGCCTCTCACTGCTGTGGCCTCTCCCGTTGCGGAGCACAGGCTCTGGACGCGCAGGCTCAGCGGCCATGGCTCACGGGTCCAGCCACTCTGGGGCATGTTTTTCGGTACGCGGGCCTCTCACTGTTGTGGCCTCTCCCGTTGCGGAGCACAGGCTCCAGATGCGCAGGCTCAGCAGCCATGGCTCACGGGCCCAGACGCTCCACGGCATGTGGGATTTTCCCGGACTTGGGCACGAACCCGTGTCCCCTGCATCGGCAGGCGGACTCTCAACCACTGCGCCACCAGGGAAGCCCGGCAGGTAGATTCTTAACCACTGTGCCACCAGGGAAGTCCCACTCTATTGTCTTGTGAGGACAATGTCACATTTCACATTTAGGAAGTGAATATGCCTCTATTCTGGATGGTCACAAATTCATTTTCGTGACCCCATTTCATTGATTTTTTTTTCCCCCCTTTGGCTGAGCTGTGCAGCATGTGGAATCTTAGTTCCCTGACCAGGGATTGAACCCACTCCCCGTGCAGTGGAAGCACGGGGTTTTTGCATTGATGCTCTTTCAAAGTAATGATGTTTGAGCTCAACGCACATGCAGCAGGAAATGCCTAATTTCATGCCAATGTGGACCCGTGGCTGCTCTCTCATCTCTGTCACTAGTGTCACCAACATGTAGCTCTCTCATCGCTCTGTCATCATCATCATTCTCTCTTATTCTCACTCTTGAAAAGGCAGGACAAGCACGCAGAGACTATAAATGCTGTTATTATAGCATCCGAATCTTCTGATGAGGATGAACGTTGCTGGGAAGGCAACAGCCTAATTCACTGCGTTTTCCTGTCATTAACCACTAAGTTGAGTGCTGTTACGTGCTGAGATCTCGGGGAGGCCACCTGAGCCCCAGAGTCAGAGGGGGAGAACAGATATGTGGACCCTGGAGAATAAATTGAGGCAGAAAGCTGCGGGGCAGTGTGGAGGGGAATTTGGGCTGGATCGAGAACCTGTCTTATTTCAAGTTTTTCTACCATGTAAGAGTAAGGTGTGCTCATGATAGAAAATTTATATATATCTATAAAAGTGGTGAGGAAAATCAGGCATAAGAAAATCATCCAGAGATAACCACTTATTTTGGTATATTTCCTTTTTCGGGGTGACTTTTCTTGCTTTGTTGTAATTATATTGTGTATATAAGTTTGAACCTATTTCTTAAATTTAATGCCAAATTTTAGTGTATTTCTCATGCTATGAAATCATTTTGGTGAATGTCTCCTCTCCATGGGTAACTTAAAACTCCACTGGGAGCGGTATGTTCGAGAGCAGAGTCCTGTGTATGATTAGGGCAGGAGAGGGGAGCCTGGACCTGCCCTTTACAGTCCCATTGACCTGCCTGACAAGGAACCTGCCAGGCTAGGAGGCGATGGGGCAGTGATCACCGGGCTTGCCAGGGGTCTGGCTTCGCCACTGACAAAATGAGCAGGTTTGGTCTGGGGTCTTTGCTACTCTGTAGAGTACAGAGAACAAGTCAACCCAAGTGGGATATATTTGGATTATTGAATAGTGGGATAGTTATGTAGAAATCTAGGAAATATCCATTTTTGGATGACCTTTAAAAAGAGGACTGGCCGTGGCATGATAGAATATAAGAGAATAAAATAGGATATACAAGAACAGACATGTGATCGACTAAGATATTTACAAAAAGGAGAAGAAAAAGGATGGGAAAGAAATTAATCAAAATATTAGTAGGAGACATTTCTGGGTTATCGGCTTATGGACCTTTAAATTCTCTTCTTTAAATTCTTCTTTACGTGTTCTCCTGTCTCTATCTTTGGTGTTCCCAGCAATGTGCATGAACTATACTTTTGATGTTAACAGGTATTTTGAAAGGTTGCTGTGGCCGTGGCCCTGGCCTGTTGGCGATGTAGGCTCACCTGGAGGCCCAGGTGAGGGTTCGTGAGCTCTGGCGGCCTCCCACACACTGATGGCCATGCTCACGGGGTCAGCATGGCTGCACCTGGGCTCGTCGGAGCCCGGAAACTGAGAGCTGCGGCCAACCTCAGAGGCGCTGGCGCAGGTTCAGTGTGGTGAAGCCCCAGGCAGGCCGTGCTCGGGGACTCAGGTGTGCTGGGAGGCGACCTCAGCCCCAGGACGCCCCAAGGCTCCTCAC